GGCTGCCAACTAAAAGGATGAAATGTAAAGTGCATTTTCTTGCAAGTGAAGGACTTTTTGATAAAAATAAGTGCATAAATTTTGTTCAAAGGTTATATAAATATTGTGACTTAATTATTTTAAAATTCAAAAAATTCGTTTCAGTTGCTTTTAAAGAATCAAAATACATTGTATACAATGTACACATGCTGTTACATGCATAAAAAATATTGTACATTTTTTAAATGGCCATAAATTAATAAATTTTATGTCTGAATTAGCTCAAACTTTTCAAATAGCATAAGGACAATAATATGTATCCAGAAATTCAATTAAAATGTGGGGTCATTTCAGAGCCATTCTTGGAAAGGAGCATTGGCTATACCAACATTTTTTTTTAAAAGATTGGGTAGGATTCAATTGAGTAGGAGTCAAAAAAGTAATGGAAACAAGACAAGAGCAAGTAGGATTCCAAATGACCAAAGTCCTACTCTTGTGATCCAAATTTTACTTAAGAAATGACAACATAATCAGTATTATACATAAATACAAAGTTACATACAATATACATGTACAGTATAGTAAAATCATGAACAATTATAAAAATTGTATGCTTAGTACTGCTTACTTATTAATGGTAAATTCCAAAATTCATTACTCCTTGCTACAATGGATATCTGACTAACATTAATGGAGGCTTCACAAGTATACAGACCAGCATCAGAAGTATTGAGAGAAGAGAAGTTCAAATAAAGAGAACTCATTACATTAGATACTGTCATAAGAACTGGAGGTACACTAATAACTCTGTTAGCTGATCTCTTAGTCCATGTTATCACTGGTGAGACTATGAGTCTATCAACAACTGTCACTGTACAATTTAACATGTATTCTTCACCAAGTTCAGTAATACCCATAGACACTATTTCTAATACTGGTACTGGAGCAGCTGTCACGAGAGGGAGGAAATGAAGAAAAGGTAGGAAATAAAACAAAGCAAAAAAGTGACACTAGCAATACTTACCATTTACTGCAATAGAAGTATTAGCACTAGCTGATGTATTCCTGAGATACATGTAACTATTAGGAGCAGTCACTTCAACATTACAAGTATACATTCCACTATCATCAGCATTATCCAATGGATAGAACATTAATGTTGCATTATAATGCAATGTATTAATCATATTGAGATCCACAGTAATAGTAGCATCAGATAAACCCACAGGAACATTAGTACCATCACGTGTCCATTGATTAGTGACAGTCACTGGTATAGTAACTAATGGATCTAACATTATGTCACATTTAATGAAGAATGGTGTCCCTGCATATAATGTGTCATCACGTTCCTTTGATATAGTAACAATCACTGGTGGAACTGTAAAGAGATAAAAAATAAATTATCTAATAACTCAAATTTTATTGTTTAATGTTACATACAGTAACTTACAGTCAACAGTTAAAGTAAAGACATCACTATCCTCTTGATAATCATAAGTAGCAGTGCTAGGATCATTGGTATTATTAAAACCAGTTACATTAAACTCAGCCATACATGTATACATTCCAGCATCTTCAAACCTCACTGGATCCAGTATTAGAGTATAGTTAGTAACTGAATCAGTATCATCTGTTGTGATACTGTATGGTCTATTTAAATAAGAGAGCATTTCCATATCTGTATCATTCATTTTAAAGAAAGTAATCATTGGTGTTACTACTAATCTCTCAACTGTTGTTATGGTACATGTTATAGTTAGACTTTGACCAACTTCAACTGAACCAACTGATGAGAAATCTACTGTTATTGGAGGAAGACCTGGTGAAGGAGCAAAGAAGAGAGAAGAAAGAGGGGACCAAGGAGGAACAGTAATCATTTTTATATAATACTATAACCTACTTTGTATAGTAACATTATGGGTAGTACTGGCTTGATTTGATGCTATTAATGAGTTACCAGAATTGATGATCATTTGACAGGTATATGTTCCTCCATCATTATTATAACCAGTATCAATAGGTTGAAACAATAGCATGCTTACAAGACTGTTACCAGTTGGAGGTATCACTTGACGTCTTGCTTGATTAGTTGACATTACATTACCACTAGGATCAGTCCATACTACACTAGCAGTTACTGGTGTATCCACTATTGTAGTGTTTACTGTAGCTGTACAGGTTAGTAAGTAACTTGTACTCTCATATATTGGACCAGTTGGAGGATCAGCAAGTATTGATACACTGGGAGGATGTACTAATAAGGAGAATTATTGCTTTATATAATAAACTAATAAATGAAACTAACTTTGAACATTTAAATCTCTGTTAGTACGATCTACAGTGCCAAATACTAGAATTGTTGCTTGACAGTAATATTGTCTAGCATCAGTTGTCTTCACTGGATCAAGTGTAAGTACACTGGTGAATATATCCCCATTTCTAACAACTGGTACTAGTGTAGCATCATTGTTTTCACTAGTCACATCTCGAGATGCTTCTAGATCATAAGTCCATCTGACACTAGTAAGATTCTCAACAAAATTAGGAGGTACAACTATAACACAAGATAAATTGAATACATCACCAGCAACAGGAACAGAAGGAATATTGATACTTATATCAACATGATTAATATCAAAATCTATGAATAATTTGCATTTAAATATGAGTTATTAAAATAAATCACTTCACTTACTTGCTACAGTTAATGTAACTCCACTACTATTA